CCCCAAAACCCCAAAACCCCAAAACCCCATTGATAAATATTTTTAGTTGATTAGAGTTAAAACATTATTTGATTAAGTTAAAAAATACGAAAATAATCTTAAGGTTAATAATATAGAAGGCAAGTTCCCTTAGAGCAATAAAATTTATCAGCAATCGATTGCTCAATCAGAGTCAGAAGGAAAATTAAGTTTGGGCATTTTCTCACTTTCCTTGCCCTTTTTGTGTTTTTTATCTTGCATCTTGAGTTTCTTTTGTAAAATCATGACTCTAGAGGAATCTTGGTCATTATTATAATCCTACTTAGACGATTTCTTTGATTTTTCTTGTCTCTTATCTGGACTTTTTCTTCTGCTGGAGGGTGCCATATATTTTTATATATAGTTGCCATCCATTTCAAAGTCATCTTAGATTGACTGCTCTTCTACTGTTTCTTTAAGTCTTCTTGATGCTGTATTTGGCACATAGGTTAGATTTGTAGCATCTTAAGTTCTCAAATCTGCCCCAGTATTAAGACCATTAGCTTTTTGTGTTCTTTTAGAAAATATTTTCTGAGGTTTCTTCTCTTCATCACTAAACTAAGAGGCTTAACCTCTTCTTGTGGAGTATCTTTTGCTAGCTGCCTTGGGAGGAGGTCTTATCTCAGAGTTCTCTCTGGATATTATTGGATTGTTTAAACCTATCTCTTAGATGTCATTATGCTCTAAGAAGTCCTCAATGCTTTCAAGAACTGAAAGTTTCTCTCGATTTTCGAATAGAGGATTTTCAACTGAGTTTCTTAACACAAAGCTTTTGAATTTTCTGACGATTCCAGCTTAGTGATTGCTTTCCTTACTTTAAGATTGACAATGAATTGGTCTAAAAGTATCATTAATTCCTTTAGGAGGATCTTTGTCTGTTCTCATTCTTGTAAACAGCCCTTTGAGTAATTTTGTGTCCACATGAGTGAGCTTTTTCTTCGACAATATTTCCCTTACTCTTTGATTGATTCTGCCTAGGATCATTAATTTTACGAAAGGGTTCTTGCCATTGTTAAGAATATTGATAGTGGTTTGATCATCAAGGTCAGTATCCTCGCTTGACTAATCTGAATCGAGTAGTTACTTCTTTTGGAAGTGCATGAGAAGATGCTAATTTTGATCAAGTAATGTTGGGCCAAGAAGTTACATTTGATGCATGAATTTAATCAAACTAAGAGCATCAAATTTTTACTCAATCTTTTTCTTAGCTTTTTGATATAGATATTGCTGTCTGAATCTTTAGATTTCTTTCTTACTTTTCATTCTTCTGCAGTTGAAGCAGCAGAGGAACTCTTTCATTATATCACAAGCCGAATATTAGAAAACTTATCTATTCAAGATTGTGTTCATAATTTTTCTTCTACTGATGAATAGTATCTCTTTGATTTTGTTTGGAGAATCACTTGTCTTTGAATTCTACTTCGTAGATAACTAGGATCCTTTCTCTTCATCCTCTGAAAATCCCATTGGCCGATACTAATTAGATTTTTATATTGAAGTTGCTGAGTTATGCGGTGTTTTTGGAACTTTCATAGTCCCAAATAGGTTTCTTTTATGTTAATTCTTTGGCTATTTAATTTTGGCATGATAAATTTAATTCATCATTTTTCCATACAAAAGTCTTTCAGCAAACATTCCTGTCAATAGAGAACCTACAACTATGAAAATAGTTTATACACCCCCAACATCTCCCAGCAGGTCCATAAGGCCATATATTTGTCTGTTGTAAGTATCTTAATAGGAATCAAGTCTAACTTATACAGAAACATAAGTGATCCCCCTGTAAGAAGTTTCCATGATGACATCTTTTTATCTTTAAATGGAATATAATGACTTGTTCATCCCTGATTCAAATGAGAAAAATTCATCGTTAAGGTTGGTAAAACTTTGGCGCACATATATAAATGATTACTTTCCAAGGCTGGGCATGATTGGGAAAAATATAGTATCGTCTATGAAGTATTTGACTGGATTTGTGAAATCACTGAAATCAAAATAGGTGTTCACAGGGTAAACGAGAAGATTGACATTCTTCCACCAAACAGCTTGTTCTTCAAATGTTGCACATATGGTGGAATTGATGTTGTTTTCTTTAGTGGGATCGATACAGGGTTGGACTCGTATTTCTAGGAACTAAGCGTTCTTTCCATAAAGAGTACCCTTCATTTTCAACATTGATTTGTCTTTGACACATTGAGCAATCGAGACTTGCTTAAGAACAACCTCATCTTTATTTGTATAATTATATCCTTCAGTTCCGCAAGTTTCTGTCTCTAATTCGTAGTCAGTTCTATTTCTCACTAAAAAGTTTATTAAGCTGTTTCTCTACCTGAAACATTTTGGCTGTTGACGTAATTATCAACATTAACAAAGTAAAACCTAATCGATCCTATCCTACTTTCGATGTTTTTGGGCCTTGTCCCTGCTGCAATGTCGAACCCAAAGTCACTATTTATAAAATTGATAAAGTTTTAATCCTACGTGGCTTAGAATGCCTTTTCGAACTGAGTGATATCTACCAATTGTGTTGTCACACTTGTCTTGTTATCTTATTTAACTATATAATTTTTGAGTTTGATTGTTCAAAAAATTGATGAAATAGAAACATACATATCATGATCTATGTCCTGAAACTGAAGTATGCTAAAATTATTGCAATGACTGAGAGTGAAGTTAGAGCCCCTGGCCAGGTTTTGAACTTCCTAGAGCTATTATATAATATTAATGTGGTTACTATTCACCCTGGAAAGTCAGTGAGAACTGCTCTCCGTAGATGTCAGATTGCTTGATGATGTCACCAAGTCCGCAACGTCTCTGAGTGCGAAGATTTGGTCTGTGTAGTTTTTACATAATAATATAAATAATCTTCAAAAAATACTTTTTATATCTCTACCCGCTAATAAAAGTAATCTAAATATTTTAAAAATCTATCTTATTACTAATTATCAAATCTGAATTACTCTTACTTAAGGCTAAAGGGGTTTTGGGGTTTTGGGGTTTTGGGGTTTTGGGGTTTTGGGG